CGTTTGACGGAACAACTTTTGTGCCACGTGATGCTGAGCGTCCCATGCTGCTGGAAATGACAAAGCATGGCGAGCGAGCTTAAGCAACTTGACACAAGCCCAAGGGCAACAGAATGAGCATCTAACCCTGATCTGAAACACCTTTGGTCCCATGGATTTTAAGGGAATTTCCATCCCTCCTGGACCAAAGATAGTTAAAGAATATTTAACGACAAAAAAGGAACCTAGACTACCCACAATGAAGTAAAGCTTCTCTAAATTAACACTTAATGAACATATCACAAGAAACCCTAGGTACTAAGGAAAGAACAGCCAAAATCACAATAAATATCATTAACACCAACAGACTAACATTATTTTGTGTTTTGTGTCCTGGATTTGCAAAGGCCAAAAAAATTGGACTGCAAACTGTAAAGTCTGAGTTTTATCTATGTCTTTCAGATAATGTGTAAAAACGTGCCTGTTGTTGACTTGGCAGCCTTTGAAAGGTTGCATTGAGGTGTACTTTCATACATTCTTAAATATGGGAGGTTCTTGGAACTGAGTTTTGAGATGGTTCCATTCAATCAACAAGACAGCAGTAGTCCTGCAGCAACTCTGGAGTCTTAGAACGTATCTGTACTACATACCTAAACTGGCTCAATTGCCGTTCCCTCTCCACAAGTAGTTTGGGGAGGCAAGGAGTGTGTGTTCGTCCAACCTGAAGTGCTCAACATCCTCATACCAAACTACAATTCCCAAAATACTTGGGGAGGGGGTGAACAGCTCTGAGAGTTCAACTGCTATGAAACAGATCTACATTTGTCCTGTAAACATGTCCTTGTAGAGTTAATGGGATGCCTAGTTTTGCCATTTTACCTCATGTTTACTGAATTCTCACACCACAAAATTAGTCTCAGAAGCTCCACTGCTGGTTCTACTAGAAACCAAGCTTTACAGTTGTAAAAAAGCCTCACCAATTACTGTGACCATAAACATTCTTTAGAATAAGGTTAAACTCTACTACAAATATGGGCAGTGACGAACAGTTGTCATTGGGAGAGCTCTCAGAGCCTAACCAAGCAAACCATTTCAGAATTTTTTTCTCCACCATCCTCCTTTACACCCTTCTGTCTGTCTGTCTGTCTCTCCCTCAGTAAAGAGTCCAATTGATTTGTCTGACATTACTACTACATTGGTAAGAAAAGCACCATGATCTTTACAGGTGTACGTTTGGCAACAGCAGTCAAATGTTCTGAGAAACAAGCTTGAACTGCAGGGAACAGACTATTTCTATTGCTATTAACAATGTATTTGCGAGGATAGATCTTGAACCTCTTACACCAGTTGCAAGAACCAGATTCGGGAGGGTACAAGAGTAGAGTATGAGCCATTCATCTCTTAAATGCTAACTATGGGGTAGCCCCTTCTATTGATCGAAAATGGATAACTATTTGCTATGGAGAACTTGACTAAGACTGTGGTTAGAACTGACAACTACAGGAACTCCCATGAGTTTGCTCTGAATTGGCCAGCAGCATAAAGGAATTGTGTACTGTGTGTTTAATAAAACAGGTATCGGAAAGGGAAAGTGTTGCTAGGGGCCATCCAAGATCACTTAGTAGCTCTCTGAGAGCTGATCCACACGGCCACTGCCGCCACGCGCAGTTACCGGTGTTTGTCAGTTTAATGACAACAAGGTCTCTATGACCTTTAAGGTCAACATTTAATCGACATAACCAGCTCGGGGCCACAGGAGGCTAAGAAGCCCATCAGATGCTGCTGAAGATGTTGATGCATTGAGCAGAGTTCACAGACTTTGCGTGCTTGTGTAAAGGGCTGTCAAGTCGCAGCCAACTTATGGCGACCGCGTAGGGTTTTCAAGGCCTTTCAATAACCTAAGCCACATTTTCCCTAAATAACGTTTTCCGAGTAAATCAGTTTCACCCAGTGCAGCCCAGCTGCCGTATCAGTAACTCACCCCCCCACCCCCACGTGACAGCTTGTTTTCATGCGACCATGGCTATTGGCCATCAAGAGTATGAAAACTTTCATCATGTGAACGCAATGCCCGTCAACAAGATGCAAGAGGATCAATGTACAACTACCAGCTAACGATCACTTCAGCTACTCATGAGAACTTAACCCTGAAAAGCGACATTTTCGGACTACTTTGGGATGAACGACAGTGCTCTAGATGCCGTCTGCTTCCTCCCCCGCTCCCCCTCAACAGAGCCTTTCAGTTCTTCCCCCTAAGTTTGCTTTCAGGCAACATGCAAGGCATTTTCACAGCGAAGATGATCACCCCGCTTTTTTCAGGACATTCACATCCCCAGAACTGCTTCGTTATGCTTTAGAGAGGGTTTAAAAACAACCACCGCCACCTATCATTGCAAACATTCGGGAACCAACGCAGTTCTGACCCTCTTCACCCCACCCCCACCCAAAGCATTTCACAAAACAAATTCCACAAAGGTGCTTTCACTGAAAGAGACCTGTGCAAAACCGCAAATCTTTTCACTCCTTAAAAAAAATAAAATCAGAAAGGCTCCATTCTCTTAAAGCATTTGGTGGGGTCCACCCCCTACAACTCCTAAGTGCCAGGAAACCCCCCCCCCACACACATTTTTTTAAAGGAAGCAGACATTCTGAGGGCTGGCAGCTGTATAAGAGAGCATTTACAAGCCATGAGGCCTTATACCTTTCCAATAGAATATAATTCCTCTGCTGAAACGCACTGACTAGAGAGAACATCTCCGCGCACGGACGTTCCTAGAGTGATACCTTTCACTCTCTGTTCTCAGCCTGGCTTATGCTCAGCCGCTCTTCAAAACCGCCCCCATCTGTAAACCTCCTTCGACCTGCTTTTGGAATGTCCACATCAGAGAAACACCACTCTTGCTGACCGGCGCTCTGTCCTTTACTCCGGAGGCCACGGTACAAGTTAGTTAGTGCGCACCTCACACTCCTCCCCCTAGCGCGGTTTCGGGTTTTATGGAAAACAATGTACCATGTTCTGTTTGATTCTGCTCTAGACAGAGTGCTCCCGGCCAGCCTCTTCGCCAGCCATGGTCCCACTCCTAGGGAGGGGAAAAGCCCTTTAGGATATACCAAGCTCCTACAATGTGCAGTGCTTCCAACCCTCTTGCGGGATGGGAACAGGTCAGGGGAGGGGGCACTGGCTAAATTTGGTGATTTTTCATTGTTGCAGGGGACTGCAAGTCCAGAAGGAAAATATACCTCTCTTTTTTTTCCCGTAGCTGTTGTTCTCTTTTTTTTTGTCATTTTGTTTTCTTTTGTTTTTGCATATAACATTAAATATCGTCGCTTACAGTAACACATGCAAATACATGCTGGCTTGGAAAATGCAGACTCTAAATAGTTTTAGCTCGGCGGTGCTAATCCCTTCTGCTTTTGCCTTGTCTGTCCCGGCGCTGTCGTCTTGAAAAATAACTTGTCCCATACTCTGCTGTTGCTCCGGGAGAAGCTTGAGGGGAGAAGGGTTATCTTTCCCCACATAGTCGCCGACAAATGTTTGGATCCTGTTGTTTTATATATATATAGATTCTTTTTTTTTTCTGCTGAAAAATAGGTTTAATTTTTTTTCCTGGCATTTCGTTTTATTGGTTGAGTCTTTTTGTTTCTTTCCCTTTTTTCTTTTGTTTTGTTTACACGATCCGATCAAAACGCTATCCCATCCCAACTCTGGGTGGAAACAGGGAAAAAAATCACAGTGAAAGCACCCACGTGGGGGGGGGAGTGCTCCATTGTCATTTTCTGTGTGCGGAGAAAAGGTGGGCTGTTGTTCTCACGAAACAGAAGAAAAAGGAGAGGGAGAGAGAGAGAGAGAGAGAGAGAGGTGAAGGACGAAGGCTGGCTCTCTAGGCTTTCTCCTTCAGACCCAGTTCAATGCCGGAATCTCCTGCTCCCCAATCCCATCCCGGTCTCTATGCCCGCTCTTGGCTCCTTCTTCCGTAGGAACTCGATTGTTCTTGGAATATCTACATTGTAGTAAAGTCGTTGGTTTGTTTTTTTTAAATCATGCATCCAGGCAGAAGGAACGCTTGACCTTATTGCTGTGATTTGATGGAAGATCCATGCACGAAAAGAACAATTCCAAGAAAAGACAGAAGGCTCAAGGCAGATGGGTGGGTGGCCTTCCCAAGGGAGATCATGGTGTGTGTGGGGGGGGTCCATGTTTTCAATGAACCAGAATCGCTCAGTAAGTAGGAAGGGGAGGGGGTATGGGGGGAGAGAGAGAGAGAGAGAGAGAGAGAGAGAGAGAGAGAGGATGTCTACCATGGCTTTGACAGATGGTGAGATGTTTTTGTAGGGACAGGTAGGGAGGAGAACATATAAGACAGGCCAGAGAGACTGACAGATGGACTGAACATAGATGTAAACATATAGACAGGTGGGGAAAGAGAGAGGGAGAGAGGGAGGAGTGGTATCACTAAGCTCTATGGCTCATTACAGTCCTGAGTTAGATGATGAAGAGGGAGGGAGCACTGAACAGAGAGAGAAAAGCGCAAAGCCAGGGCCAGAGAAGTATCGTGCAGTCCGGTGAGGCTGAAGAGGGGGAGAAGTGCAGGCAACACAGACAGGAGGGCTTTGGGGCCTCTTCCTGCAGAGTCCCTCTCCCCTGAACCTCCACCACCTCCTCCTCCTCCTCCTCCTCCTTTTCCCGGAGTATTTGGATTTTCAGAGCAAATCAGCCCTCCCCACCCCCAATAAGCTCTTGAGCCCCACTCCTGACCCACAGCCGCAGGGACAGGCAGCTTCAGGCCTCAGGATTCTCATGGACACTCCAGAAAGTGCAAACTTTAGTGCAACATCACCTGTCAGATGCCTCCGGCTGTGTCTTTGTTCCAATGCATTGGACTGCTTTTCTTTTCTTTTTTTCCCCCCCTTTGCTTTTGTTTTTGGCATTACCTTGTTTTTTTTTTCCTTTTTCTTCTTCTTTGTTTTTTTAAAAAAAGAAACAGACATACAAGCTAACCCCAAGCATCCCTGGTGTGTCTCTATAGGATGGAAGGGATGGGCGAGCGGGGGCGTCGGACGGAACCGGGCGAGCCGAAGGGAGTGGGCGCCGGAGACAGGCGCAGTCCAGCAATGCTGTTCAGGCTGTGGGACTTCTCATAGCCTGCAGGGAGCGCTGTGAGGAAGGAGAAAGAAATAGAGAGAGAGGAATGAAAGGGGGGGAAAGGCAAGGGATCCAATGCTAAGTGCCAAAAGTCCCCAAATCAGGCACTGGGATGCAGGTGCCTTAGTCTACCACCGTGCTAGCTTGCCAGAAGAAAGAGTTCGTATCTCTGCTGTGCTTCGTATGAACTTGCCTTATGCTGAACTGGACTCTAGGCCCAGCTAGCCCGCAGTTGTCTGCCCTGACTGTTGATAGCTCTCGGAGAGCTTTGGTAGAGACCTTTCCCAGTCCTGCTGCCTTGTTGAACCTAGGACTTTGCGTTTTCCCCTTGAGCTCTGGCTGCTCCCTGGTGTCACTGCTGGAGATATGGTTGCCAGCCGAGAGCTAGCAATTCCTGGGGGACTGGGGCGAGGTGCTGGGCAGTGCCGTCCCGTCACTTCTGGCCTTGATGGGATGCTCTAGCAACCCCCCATTACTCAATGGTTTTACCATAGAGCTTCGGGGATTACTACAGCATGGTGTAACGTCTCTTCTGGTTGTGCATCAGAGAAACACCACTCCCCCCTCCCCCTTTTGCTTCGCCACTGCATGGAGTAGCAGAGGAAGATGGAGCCAGAAAGCAGTATTGCAGTTGCCCGGGCTGTAAGAGTCATGTGACACAATGGGTCAATAGGGTTCCATCTGACTGTCAAGCTAGTGATTCTCTTCCGGCTCTCCTATTAAGTGACTTTTCCCACAGGAACAGGCCATGAGCTCTCAGACTGCTCCTGCCTGCATCCTGAGGTAAACTCTGGGCTACGGCATTTGGCTTCTAACCAAAGATGCTGTCCAGGCTCGGGGAATTAGTGCCTTCCTGAACCCTCTGCCTACCCACAAATCCACCAGCTTTTGGCCTCGTTTTTGATTAGGATAATTGCTCTTGATGTTTTAACCACAGAGATCCAGGGATCTTGGGAAACACTGCCTGGCCTGTTTTCACCCAAGGCAAGCAGCTTGATATTTACTACATCCCCCCCCCCCTTAAGACATCTGGTTGACCTACATGATTCTCCCAACCTTTGTCCCTACAACAACCCTGTGAGGCAGGCCAGGCTCAACATGATTAGGGATTTGTCTGTATATATTCACATGGCGACCCATTCACATGTAAAGTGAGGGATGTGAAAGGGTGTGTGTCTATCTGAGGTTTTACAGAAAACTGGGTGCACAAGTGAAGGGAGCTAAACCCTGCTGTGTCTTTCATTTCCATACATGTACAATCTACGTGTGTATAAATGGACAACCAGAGATCATTTCGGGGGGGATCGCAGTTCCCCCGGGTGAGGTGCGGGGGCGGGGCACACGATGAAGCCCCACCCCCTGCTTCCGGCCGCCCCGCTTCCAGCCCTCATTCAGCCAGGAGGAGGCAGGAGGAGAGGGAGGGTAAGTTGCTTCCTCCCTGCCTCTCCCCACCCCTACCTGCCTGGGGCCAGGGAGGGCCTTGGTGGGGCTTCCTTGCACGCCCTCCGGCCTTGCAGGTCCACCGCCGGGCCCCTAATGTCAGGGGGTGTGGCATATGCTAATGAGTTATGCTAATGAGTCCCCCTAGCTCTTTTTCTACGAAACGACCCCTGTGGACAACACATTACTTAATGAGCAATTAAATGGCGGGATTCGCGGCCAGAGGATATAGTGGTGGCCACGAGCATAGATGGCTTTAAAAGGGGATCAGACAGATTCACGGTGGAGAGGTACTAAGGATGAGTAAAGAGAACCTCCACAGTCAGAGGCAGCAAATTTTTAAATATGATGGCTAGGAGGCAACATCAGGGCAAGGCCGTTCGTTGGCCCTCCAGGGCACCGGGCTGCTGTGTCAAATAGGCTGCCAGACTGATCCCACAGGGCTGTTCTTAGGTTCTTCTGTGGACCTTGTCATGTTTAGTTTGGTCCTGAGAGATAAGGACTAGTCCAAGGTCACTCAGTAAGCTTTGGGGCTGAGCAATGGTTTCCATCTGGGCCTCCTGGGATAAATCCAACTACTATCCCATACGGGCTCTCAACTCTACCGCCTTCTCAGAGCCTGCACAACCATCTGTTGCCATTAGGAGTTATTGTCCTCTGTCCCCAACCTCAGCTAGATAGCAGCAGCAGTTACCCCTTGTAAGCTGTCAGACGACCTTCATTGTTCTCAAAGTATAAGGTGGGCAAAGGCTGTTGTAGAAGCAACAGCCAGGGAACAGCAGACAAGCAGAAATCCCACCTGAGCTACCTAGTGTTGTACTATTTCCATGGGGTTCAAATGTTTGCAGGCCCCTCTACGTAAAAAGCCCCCCAGACACTGAAATCTAGTGTGTCAGGGAACGGCCAGCATATAGCCCCCTTCTCCTTGACATGCTAAATTTGCATGTGCAGGGTGCATAAGGGGGAATCCCCATCCATAGTCTGAGTAACACAGCTCAGTGACAGATACACAATGGTGTATCTCAGTCACAGATACACCATGGTAAGCTATATACTGCTGTTGCTAACACTTTCCCACCCTAAGTGCTAATAATGCATAATGGCTCATTCTGCATCAGCTTTTCCCTCCGTTGTTTTACGAAACCCACGCTGGAACAGAAATTCCCCTCTGCGCTGCATGCCCCTTTCGCTTCCTTTGATCATTGGATTTTATGGTACCTTCTGCATAGATTTATGGCTGTTTTATGGCCGTCCAAGGGTGACTTTGCAGTCAGTACGGGCGTTGGCCCGGGGTATTTGAATGTGGTTTTGAGCTGCACTTTCCCCTCCCAGTTGAGAAAACGTGGAGCGAATGCTGGATGCAGAATCGCCCACTGTCTGAGCTGACCGCAGGGCTGGCTTCAGCTATCATGGGAGAGGCCTCTTGGGAAAGATGTCCTCTGTGGGTTCCCATGTCCTCGAAAGAGCCCCCTCCTCCACCTACTCACCAACCCAACCTGCCGCACCCAGAGGAGGCAGCTGCTCTTTTCCGACTGCCCAAGCAAGCAAAGGAACAGATGGGAAAAAAGAGTAGCACCCACAGCCTCCTCCTTCCCCCTCTCTCCAGGCTGCAAATCAAGGAAATGGGGCTGGTGTTGGTGGGGAACAGGAGCCAGCGCTCCTTGCTCGGTTTCCTCCCTCCTCTGAGCAGCAGTGGGGACTGAGCACGAGAGCGGTCAGGCAATCGAGCAGAGAGTGTGGCCACTGCTGCTGTTCCTTCTCCTCCTCCTTATCATCATCACACCTCCTGACTTGCCCAAGTGGGTCTGCACACAGACACACTGAGTAGGAGCAGCCACAGTGGGCTCGTTGGCAGAACATCGGCTTGGCATGCGGAAGGTCCCAGGTTCAATCCCCGGCATCTCCAGTTAGACGGGAGGTGATGTGAAAGATCTCTGCCTGAGACCCTGGACAGCCGCGGCCAGTTAGAGGAGACAAACCTGTGCCTGACAGACCAAGGGGCTTGACTCAGGTATTAGGTAACTTTATGGCGCATGCATTGATGTGAGGGGCGTCTGCCGTGGGCCAGTGGTGGGCCCTCCTGGTACTTCTGCTGCCGCCTGTTCCCATATCTTCAGAAAGGGCGAACATCACAGCCCTTTGGCATACTACCTTCTGGCCCAATCTGAACACCCACGTCAGCCCCACGAAAAAAAGGAGTCTGCTGGCACTTAAAGACTAACAGAGTCCATTCCATTACAAGCTTCCGTGAGTCACGGCATCTGTTGACCTGAGCTCTGATTCACGGAAGCTTAACGCTGGAATGAAATTCTGTTAGTCCTTAAATCACCACTCCCGTCTCATTTTGCTGCCATAGACTAGCAGGGCTGTTGCCCCTCTGGAATTACACAACCTGCCGGAGAGGTCCTGTTTGGCCTAATGCCTAAGCTCTGGTTAGCTGGAACTGAAATGGACGGATGACTTTGGCAGGCCGCTATTTCTCCCCCATCTACAAAGTGGAGATAATAACAATGATAATAATAATACTGACGTACCTTACAACCATAGGTAAGAATTAGCAAAGGTTTTGCTATGTGTTTCATGAGAAAAAAAAAAAAGCATGTGGTAAATCCTCCAGGTTCTGGAAGACAGTGGGACAAAGGGCACGTCTGTATGCTCCTCCACATTAAAAAAAAAAACAGCACAGCCAAGGCAACCTCTCTGTGCCAACGGCAACTGGGCCCTCTTTCCTTGGAGTTGTCCCTTCCCTATGGAACCTTTGGATGACAATAAAGAGCTCCTCCCCACTCCCTCCCCCCTTCCCCAGATATATGCTCCATAAAGCCATGCATGCCGTACAGAGAAAAACACACATGTCGTCCTTGCATGCCTCCTATGTTAGGCCCTGGGCAGCATGGGACCTGTCCTTGATGTGACCGCAGAATGAGCGCTTATGTAGGTGCGTTGCACATCAAAGATGAGAGGTAGGCAGTGTGTTGACGGTGCCCCAGACGGTGACACACATGGCACATATGGGTGAGATGCCATCACTACTTGTGGGGTGGTCACAGACTCCTGGTTCAATGGTAGAGCCTCTGCCTGGCATGCAGAAATGTCTCGGGTTCAGTCCCCAGCCTCTCCAGTTTAAAGGGTCAGGTAGCAGGTGATGTGAAAGAGCTCAGCCTGAGACCCTGGATTGCTGCTGCTGGTCAGAGTAGACAACACGGACCTTGATGGATCAAGGGTCTGATTCAGTGTAAGGTAGCTTTACACGATTCAAGATTCTGGGGGAAAGGAGGACTCCAGAGTACAAGGCACAGGGCGTCTACTCAAGCCAGTGATGCTTGATCACGAAGTGCGCACTGGAGTGGAATGCCATAAAAGGCATCTCGTAGGTGTGTTAACATGTCACCCTTGCATGTGTAGGATTGCAGGTCCACGTGGACTGTGTGTGTTTTCAGAACCAGCGACAGATGAAACGTGTGCGTTCAAATCACGCATCATGAGAGACGCTGATATAGGGTGGGACACTGTGCTTGGAGACAACGCAAGCCAACACTGCAGGGGAAGGATTATGTTTA